GTGTGTGCAGTACAGAGAGGGGGTTGGGCGGGGTTAGCCGAAGAGAGTTAAGGAGAGGGGTAAGTTGGGCGATTGAGGACCTTGAGTTGGAGGTGCGGGGAAGGAGGGGACAGGGAGTGAGTAGGAGAGTGAGGAAGTCTTCTAGATTTTGGTAAGATAAGATAAGATTAGTAAGGCAGCAGGGTCGCTTAAAGCAGTTTGCTAGATCTGCTTCTTACCTGATGTAAGTCGCTATTGTCATCTGTTGGTGGCTGTGTTCGTTGCCCGGTGGAAGATGCCTCGTGGGCGCTAGTAGTCGATGACGTGGCTGAGTTAGCTCACTGATGAAAGATGACGAGCCTTTTGAAGTGGGGATGTGATAACAGGCTGAAAGCGACTTGTCTGATGTGGTTGCTTCTCCCCTTCGAGTAGACTGCTTCCTCCTTGGGAGCCTTGGCTGCCTGTGGAGACGATGCGCGTGGGATGCGTGAGTGATGGCGGGGGCTTCTCTTCCAGGCGTGGAGCGATGGAGGATCTTGCTGCCCTGATTCGAACTTGGCGAGGGCAAAACGCGCGAGCGAATTCTTGCGGGTGATTTTGCGTAGCGAGCTTCCGTGGTCGGGCGGGAAAGCGGCTTGAGCGAAGCTGCACGGGCGAGACCGTGGTAGGGGGTGTCGGCCCAACGGGCCTGAGTCGAGCGCTAGCGCAATTTTGCACAGCGCTGCGTTAGCGCGCTTACCAAGGACAGACTATTACGATTTGGCGCTAGAATACATTTGGGTCTTCTTCTTCTTCTTCTTCTTCTTCTTCTTCTTCTTCTTCTTCCACCTGACATTTTGTCTGTGTATGATTACAGCAGGGAGGATCTTCTATGTTTGGACCCCTCCCCTCCTGGTGTGAGATCAGACCTGAGTCTAATTGTCATGTGACTGCGTCGTCAGTCAGTCCTATCTGGTTAGAGTCTTCGTCCATGTCACATCACAACTCGTCCTCATATTGGTGATCTTTGGACTTGCATTGCCGACGGTTCAGCCGGGGCATGCATCAGTGCCTGTGAACAATCGGTGATAGTTCATTGAACAGTGGAGAAATGATTCTGGTCACGAGCTCTTTTCAGACTGTCATCTTCTAATAATTCTATGTATATGCTGCTGGATATTACTGATGCTGGAGTTGAGTTGCGGAAGAAGGTGTTGTTTGAGACAGTGGTTGCTTGCGATATCTGCCTAAGCAGTTTGTGTATGGTTTCCTGTATGTTTTTTGCTGTTCTGTTGTAGTGTGACCTGGCAGTGAAAGCGGCAAAGAATGTGAAAGTCTCTGCAGCACTGTTTGCCCCAGGCTGGGTTTACGAAACAAAACAACCATGGGATTTTGAAGAATCGCAAGATCGGTTCTGGAAGCTGATTGCAAATGCATGGGTGCCCCCGCATCCTTGCTCTACGACGCTGCCATTTCTATCAACTTTTGACCAGGTGGTTTGATCAACTTCGATATGTTTCCTTTCCCCTTGTCGCTGCAACTGATTGCCTTATAAGTGTTGATGACGGTTCAGTCTTACTATGGCTACTAAGGTACCAAATTTCCAATACCTCTCACCTGAGAGTGTCTGTGAGATCGCCACACACACAGAGAGAGAGAGAGAGAGAGAGAGAGAGAGAGAGAGAGAGAGAGAGAGAGAGAGAGAGAGAGAGAGAGAGACGGCGCTGCCACGTGGCATGCCTGTGAAGCATGGTGGTTGTGCAAAGGGTTGCCAAAATTGAGCGGTCGCCGCTCTTTTTTTTGTTTTTTTTGTTTGTTTGTTTAATAATAATCTGGGACCATTTTCGATTTCTGTGTGTCATCCTTGCGCAGGGGCCATGCTAATCTTCTTTCTCTGTATCATTCCAATTTTAACGGGTGTCCCAAAGGACAACATTGAGCGTTTTTTTCGATGTAGGTGAAGGGTTACACTGGACCATTGCCGGATTGGCAGTTGTTGTCCATATTAGGTTACATCTCACTCTTGATTTAGAACCCCACCAGCCAGCCATGCTGCGGACTGTTGCTGCATGGACAGTTGTTTGCACTTCGTGTACAGTTCACATTTGATCCAGAACACTCAGTCATGCTCTTGACTGTTGCTGGATCAACAGTTGTTGCACTTGGTGATGTTCGCATATTCAACATAAAATACTCAGTCATGCTCGGGACTGTTGGTGAACTTACAGTTTTTGTCCATGGCTAACAGTTCGTATTGGATAGAAAATACTCAGTCATGCTCGAGACGGTTGGTGAACTGACGGATTTTTGTCCATTGTTTGCAGTTTGCATTTGGTATAGAACCCGCAGTCATGCTGTGGGCCACTGGTGGACTGAACACTTGTACTTGGTGTATACTTCACATTTGATAGAGGTCCCGCAGTCATGCTGTGGACCACTGGTGGACCGAACAGTTGTACTTGGTGTGTACTTCACATTTGATAGAGATCACCCAGCCATGGACATGGACTGACAGATTCCGACTTCCTGACCCAGTTCGCTAGCCTTTATCCAGACACGTTCCCCTACCTGAAATGTGGACTGTCGTCTGCGTTTGTTCTCAGAGGCAATCATAGCCTTCTGAGACTTTCGGATGTGCTCAACAGCCTGCTGCAACAGCTTTTCGTACTGGACACCAAACTCTATGGTTCCAGGCATTGCAGCTGATCGGTTTTCAGGGAGGAGGAAGTCTAGTGCCGATCTAGGCGTCTATCCCAAATGCAGTTCATTTGGACAGACCCCCATTATGCTGTGAACAACATTGTTGTACAGACTGGCGATGAGAAGCAACTTCTCATCCCAATCATCCTGGCTGGGCTTAATGTAATGCCTCATCAGGTGCTGCACCACGCGGTTCATTTGTTCCGCTGACCGTTGGCTTCAGGATGATTCCCGGAGGTCATCTGAAGTTGGCTGCCCATTTGTTCAGCAGCCTTCTTCCACATTTCACTCGTGAATCGGACATCTCTGTCACTAACTTGGGCAGCCCAAAATCACGCACCTAGTTATCCATGAATAACTTGATGACGTGTTCAGTCCTTGCAGTCTCAGCCATGGTTATTAGTCTAGCATACTTAGTAAACCTGTCTACTATGATGAAGATGTGCCTCGTGCCACTCTTGCTAGTCACGAGGGTATCCATGAAATCCATAGAGACACTCTGTCTCGGACATGCAGGAATGGGAAAGGGCTTAAGTAACCCAAGCGGTGCTTGAGTACGCAGCTTATCCCGCTACAGGCTTGACACGTCTGTGCGTACCTCTTCACATTGTCAAGCATATTAGGCCACCAAAATTGTTGTACTAAATTAGCACTAGTCTTCTTATATTCGAAATGACCTGTCGCATCATGACACTCACCTAAAAATAAACTATGCAAAATCTCGCTAGACGGCACACATAGCCTTTTGAACCCTGCCTTTTCAAGGAAGAGTAATCCGTCCACCATCACAAACTTGTCAGATGTCGCTTTGTCTTGCATCTAGTTTGCGTATGATGTCCATCATGAGGGGATCTTCCTTGAGGCATCCACCAGTGATCGAGTTACATTGTCGGGTAGGCCAAACTCAGTAATCAGCGTACCGAGGTAGTCTTCCCTATGTGATAGCGCATCAGCAACCTTGTTGTACTCCCCTTCATGTAATCTAGCTTGAAGGCATATTGATCTATGACTTCAATCCATCATTTGAGTGCATCGGAGAGGACAAGCTGTGTATTAATCCACTTAAGTGTCTGATGGTCGGTTCTCAAGTAAAAGAACCTTCCCAACAAATAGTGTCTCCAATGGACAAGAGCCTTGTAAAGGGCGTAGAGTTCCCTTTCATAGGTGGATTTGTCAATTTCTTTGACAGCATCTTCTTGCCTATGTACTCGATTGGCCTCAACGTCTTCCCTTCTTGCTGGGCCAGCACTGCGCCTATGCAGTATTGGCTTGCGTCAGTGGTCATAACGAATGGCCTCTCTGGATCGGGGACCATGAGAACCTCATGATGCATGAGGGCATGCTTCAATCTTTTGAAAGCAGCTTCGCACGTGTCTGTCCATTCCCATTGTGTGTCAAGGCGAGTTAGATCAGTCAAAGGGGAGGCCACCGTACTATAATTTTTACAAAGTTATGGTAGTAGCCACCCATCTCTAAGAATGATCTGACGTGAGTCACATACTTGGGTCATGGCCAGTCGCGAATGTTAGCCACCTTCACATCTTCGGGCCTTATCCCTTCCGCGGATATCTCATAACCCAAGTACAAGATTCTAGTGCGACCAAACTCGCATTTCTCTAAGTTGATCTTACACTTGTGTTGTCGCATGAGTGAAAGTGCAGTTTCTACATACTGGGCATGCTCCTCAACAGTCCTACTGAATATAAGAATATTGTCGAGGTATCCAATTAGTCATGAAACACCCTATTCATGGCATGCTGGAATGTTCCTGACGCATTGCGAAGGCCAAAGGGCATCACCACAAACTCGTACAGACCGTACCTGGTCTGAAATGCGGTTTGTGCTGGTCCTCTGGTCTAATAGCAATTTGATGGTAGTCGGACTTTAAGTCTATCTTTGTAAAGTACTTACATCCCTGCACCCTATCTAATAAGGTGTTGATGCGGGGTAGACGTTTTGTGTTCTTAACGGTGATGGCATTGCGGTCTCTATGATCAATGCACATTGCACATCCTTAGTGTCCCCCCCTTCTTCGGGACGAATGAAACTGATGAGCCGAAGGGGGAGGTGCTAGGCGAAATCCAACCCTTTTTTGTAAGCTCTTTCAGTTATCGGTGAATCTCGTCCAACTCGGTCGGAGCCGTCTTATAGATTTTTTGCTATGGTGTCTTGCTACCTGGGATGATCTCTATGGCATGGAGAACCTCCCTGTCTACGACTCCTGAAGGCTCCTCAAACAGATCAGCGTACTTAGCGACGACGATCTCGATCTCTGGGGGTGTTTTAACAGCCTCCCCTTTCTCAAAGACAAAAACTAAGTACATACCCTCCTCTTAGTTTTGTTTATAATAATTGTAGAATGCTGATGTGCACATACAACCGTGTCTATTAGACTGCTAGCCTCCCTTCCGGTAATACATGTTGAGCACCTTTCAGTCCCAGTCAAACTGGGGCTTTGCAACCTCAAGGTAGTACATACCAACAACATGTCGGATGGCAAGTAGTCGCTAACTAGGAATGAAATCTGGTGATCGAGTTCCCCACCTCCATAGTAGGTGTAGACTACGTCCTTGGCGTAGTCATTGACAACCAGGCGCTCTTTGGGTAAATGCTACAGATATACCCAAGTGTTGCACCCGGTTCCCTTGGCGCAGTCTCTCAACGCAGTCGCGACTTGTGAAGTTCCGTGTGGATCCAATGTCTACGAAGGCATCACACTTGCGGCCACCTACACCGACTTCCACAACGAAATGCTCCCCTCTAGGACCTCTAGACAGTGCCACCCAAGACTCACAAGGGTCCCTTGCTAACCACTTTGTTTCAGACACATCCAATGAACAAAGCGTCGTTTGGTTTAGATGTGTCTACGGGGTGACTAGCGAGTCAATAGCTTCGGCCAATTCCTGAAGTGGTGGGGGTACTTCAACCACTTCAGCACGAGTAGAAGCAGCTATATAACTTCTACTGGCCGGATGTGTTTCCCTGATTGGTGATCGTAGATGCATGACTTTGGGCGAAAGATCCCCCGAAACCACCTTTGGGAGGAATCTTTTGAGAGACTTTAGGGTTCCTGCATTTGACTGTTGATGGCCATATTCGCCGCAGTTGATGCAAGCTCCTTGCAAGTACTGGTCCCTCCACACATCCTGATCCAGGCCAGCCCTCACCCAAGTCGGAGTCTTGTTTGAGTTTTGCGCCTGCCCCTGACTCTTTTGTTGTTTGCCCTTGCCGCCGCCAACCGCCTTTCCTTTGGTCATGGCAGCGAGGTTGACACCCTCTGCACTCTCCTCGCCACCTATCTTTGTTTCCTCCACAAGATCGGAGAGATCATCGATCTCGGTTTGGTTCCCAGTGGAATCAACCATCATCAACCGACTACCCTTCTTCTTCCATTTTTGTGGGGGTTACTTCTTCCTACCGTCCGTAGCAGGTTGTTGTGCTCCTCCTAGCTTACCCTCCAAGTCCAAGGCTTTCTTGCTAAAGGAGTTGCTAACCATGAAGTTCTTGATGTTTGTGGGAAGACATCTCAGATACATGGTCGGCAAGAACTGTGGATCATAGCGGACACCAAGGACGACTACGAGTTTCTCCACGACAATGGTGAGCTCGCATGCAGACGTGTACCTTCTAGTATCAAGCCGGGATAACGCATCAGTGGTCAGTTGGGCCTGCTGTGGGTTGTGCCATCGCGTTACAACCAACGCCATGAAGCTCTCTAATGTGTGGGTCTTTGCCCAATCATTCATCCGCCGGCCGAATCCCTCAGATGCCATTGTTCCACCTAGCCACCTTG